ATGCAAAAGCTAAGGAGTACATAGTGTTAAGCCAATATTGTTATGGCAACTACTTCTTTGTGTGAAGCAATAGAACATATATCTACCGGTCAACATAAGAGTAGAATACTTTTAGATTTAACTGCATTATTTTTGTTTTTGTATATAACACAGTATCTATTTATTTTAAAATAAAGTTTTGTATACGTTACGCTAAAATAAATACCAATTAAAATAACAATAGAAAATCAAGTAAAATTGCAATAAAACTGAAAAAGGAATTTTTCTTTTAAATTCTTGACCGGCAAATATTAAATTATTGTTATATTTTATATAATAGCCTGCATATAAAAATTGTATAAACATAAACAAATCGCAATAAAATATGCAAGCCTTTTGGTCTCCAACCTGATTTCCAACTAATTTTCTTATATGGAAGAACTGTAAACTGTATGTGACCAGTATCAGCTGTGAATAACAGAGATTAAAAATAGTATTTTCCTTTATATTAGACAAATGTATAACATGTGTATGAAAATGCACACAAGTAACATGATCAGTACAAACATTAAGTGTGCATTTCCTTCAGTTTCAGTTGTAATGTACACTTGAGACACAATGATCCAATATCTTTCAATAAAGAATCATTCAGTTCAATGAAATTAATCAAGTAAACCTTGATTCAATTCTCTACTTGGCAGTGGTTTTATTAACATAAAAAATATTGTGGATTAATCAAATACATAATTAGAACCATAAATAAAATCAATAATTCTGTATTGGAATATAGTTTTTCAATATAAAAATTTAAAAGTTAATATAACAATGAAAACTGATGTATGCATAAAAACTGTTGTTTTTATTCATAATTAAAATATTAAGATTTCTACTTTATATTTAATTGCCACATTTAACTAATATATTATCACCTAAGAAAGAAAATATAACTACAAAAGTATTAATAAAGAATGAAAAAAAGAATAAATTACTTACATGGTCTGGCTGGAAGATTAACTGGTTCCTCAAGTTGTTTCAATTCTACCTCTATCTTTTTAATAGTAGAATATTTATGCAACATTAACTTCATTATTTTCTTTATAAATCCGACATAATCTGTAAAAAAACCATGTAGCTTTATCAAATAAATAATATATCAGAAATATAATAATCATACATAAATAAAATGATAACATATTGTTAACAGTTTATTGACTTTTCACATAATATTTTAAAATTAAAACTGCTTCATACACATGTATTATAATACATCAATAATCTATAATTAAACCATAAAGTTATTATGAACAATATGTATGAAAATAAGTTTAATAATGAATAAATTTAATATTTTTAAACTATTATTGTTAACAAATACTTTCTGAATGAGTTTTACCTCTTGGAAATTCTTGAGGACTAACTAATTCTCTAAAGAATTCTTGTGCTACACTTGGTTGTTCAGCTTCTGAAAGCGTTTCTACAAACCAAAATTGAAGAGTTCTGGATTCTTGTGTGTGCTTTCCAGTTTGGGCACTCACCAAAAATACTCTAAATTGTAAGCAAAGATGTGCTGGATGAACTTCACCATTTGTAACTATAAAATAATCATGACACTATTTTTCCTGATATTAGCATTAGTATAATGTATTGAGAAATTATATGAATATATGTACCAGCCACTGCTTGCTTATTAATAACTATTCCTTTGTGATCTCCTCCAGCAATATGAACGTTATTTTCATTTCCATTTTCTGCTGGTGGTTCTAAAGCTTGCCTTTCTATTATAAGAGTTGTAGAGTTTGCACTCTTACATTTTGGAGTCATAACAATGTGTTCTAATAAATGGAGCAAAAAGGAAAATGTAAATAAAATTATACAACATTTTACAATTCTGAATGAAAATGACTTGTATAGAATGATAAGAATTACTTAAATTTTATGAATATTTAAGCTGTATCAGCTATTTTTATAAAATATTGTAACATACGTATTAATGAATAGAAAGACATAATGTATTGTA